TGAAGTGTCCTCTACAAAACTGAATCTAAGCGACATCCTGGAAATCTATGGTTCGGGAGCTATGGACGTTTTTCCTGAAGCCTTAGCACTCCTCTGCCGTTAGGTTTGGAACTATCAAAAATGAATGGAAAACTAGGCCGTCTGTAAAGATTTTCCAATAGGATTGTATTGTTTTTTTCTCATGAACTAATAGCTCGGGATGTCCTCTCCAAAATCAAGGTAAAATGAGACCTTGATTTTCCACGGTTCGGGCGCTGTATCGGATCTCCTACGAGTCCCAGGACTGGCGCCCCGTGACTATTGGTAGCTTTAAAGACTGATGGACTGTCGGTATAGTCCGTTTTCTTCACAAACGCGACGAAACACCATAGCTGTTTTTCTAGTTTCCACACACCTAAAAAGAAAAAGTTTTGGAACGCGAAACTCAACATGACGTTTCATAGCGTTTGTGGAAAAAACGGACTAAAACGTCAGTTTTTGGATTTCAACGCATTTTTAAAAGAAGTCGGTTTTCCTCGGTTTCTTTCACGAATGCGACGAAACGCCATGTTTAATTTCGCGTTCCAAAACGTTTTTTTTTTAAACGTGTCGAAACTAGAAAATGAGATCTGGTGTTTTTTCTGTTTAAATAATTCTGCATTTAAAATGATTTTAACTAAATGAAATGAAATTCACCTTGCATTGTATTATTTTAGTTCACTACCTTATTCTGGTTTGAAGTACCACTATCCTGGCTTCCCTAAGTCTATAACTTTTTTTTTTTGCGAGTTTCTTTATTTTATTATAAGCTTCTACAACAAAAAATAAAAATAAAAATAAACAAGAAAACAGAAAACAAAAAATAAAGATAACTAATATCTGAAAAAATCGGAGAGAAGACAGAGGATGGGGGCGTATTAACAGATAACGTTAAAGTCATCATACTAGTTAACCATTGTCAAAGGGAAGGTGATTCACCGATGTGAGAAAAAATCTCATCACCATCTCAATGTTTTTCCGGGTTCTTTCGAAAAGGACTGCATTTCGATAATCCCATATTGTTTTAATGAAATTTCCAATTTGGAAAATTATATTTTTACGTTGTACCACAGTGATATCATATGAGAGGATCTTCTCAATGTAAACGATTTGATTCGTTTCACGCTCAACAGACACATGAGTCCCATCGGCAACCGAGTCCCTGAGCAGGTCATACATTGGTTGAAAAAAGGTACACTCGATCCATAGATGGTACGCTGATTCAGGTTGATCACAAAAAACACATTGTTTTTCTAGTTCCGTTCTGCCTACCCGTGCCCGTATGTAATATCATGAGAAGATCAATGAATCATAAAAGAACTTGATGTAAAGTTACTAACATGACTCCAGTCATGGGCGAGTCCGGGGGGGCACCGAGTCCGAACCGAGTCTGAGTGCTTAAAAGTTCAAGCCGAGTCCGAGTCTATTTCGAGTCCGGTAATCTTTTACATTCTTTTTTGATGAGGGTGGTTTATGTTTAAATTTGCTGAGCCCTGGATAGATATTTGATTTTTCGAAAATAAGGTTACGTTCCATGTCCGTCTTCCGAACAAAATTTTCAATTTCATGTAAATCAGTAAGTGTTGTTATTTCGCTTTTCATTTTTCTCTGCTCATTTGTGTTAAAAGTTGAATAGATCGGACTCGAAATACAAAATCTCTAGTCCGAATCCGCCAAAAAATCTTCCAGCCCGGACTCGGACTCGCCCATGCCTGCATGACTCATCGTTCAATAACTAGTGGTCAAAGAAAAGAATTTCGTGATTGATCGCAATAGAAAATGTATCTTCGAAAAACATTCTAATGAGTTGTTTCTAGCAAAATATAAATCTCTCTCAATAGAATTCTGACAAAATTCTAATAATTCTATATACGAATTCATAGCATTTGATGGGTTCTTCAACGATTTCTTGTTCCGTAGGATCCTATATGATGCAGGGTTACCCACTTAGTTTGCAGATAGCCAAACGCTTCAATTGATGTACATAAAGGTAAGACTCTCAGGAGAGAGAGAAAAAAAAATTTCCTGGCTAAGCTATATTTCGTTCTCTACAAAGTCCTATTCCATATAGAAATTTTTTTTCAAGCGATCTCTAAAAGAAAAAAACATCATATTTGTACACCCTTGGTACTCGACCCGTACCCGACCCGAGAACTTTGTACCTGTATCCGACTTATGCCTAAAAATTTTCTCCTTTTTGTTTTCCGGCTAACAACTTTTGTTTTTTTGGCCGAAAAACAAAAAGGAGAAAATTTTTAGGCATAAGTCGGATACAGGTACAAAGTTCTCGGGTCGGGTACGGGTACGAAAACGGTGCCCGTGCACATCTCTACTCCAATCAACGCTGCTAAAACAGTCGCGCAAAGTAAAAAAACTTCTGTTCAGCAGTGAACGCTCACTTTTCTAATTAAAATCAACATAGAATTTTCGGCATTTTCCAATTATATGTTTGACATAATGAGATCACCTTTCCAAGATATTTAATTTTCTTAAAACTATATTTGTAATCAAATTAAAATCTTAATAGATAGTGACATAAAGAAAAAGTTGAGATATTGTTATACACAAATGTCTTCTCTAAGTTTAAAAAAAATAATAGTCTACAGAGTGTGTGTTTCTGCCTATAAATACAATCGGTGATCCTATATTATTTGCCGAAGTAGTAATATTTCGATGCAATAAGTCAAAGTGCAATATTATGTAATTCAATTATTTGCTTTGATCCGTAAAAAAGTTTCAATTAGTTAGAGTTTTAGAAGAAAACTTTATTAGTAGTCCACGTGTAAAAAACTGTTTGCTAATTTTACAAAAATTTCGCAGTATGGGACTGCATTTTAGAAATTACAGTTATAGATGTGTACCAGTGTGTAGGTATACTGTACACTTTTACTAATGAGTATATTAAACGTTCAATTTAGAAAAAATGATTAAAAGATGATTAAAAAATAATAGTACCCATTTGATTAATGTCAACCTTAAGTCCTGACGATTTTTTGTTTTTGAAGATGATAGTGATTCTTTTACAGTTTGATGACTGATTAACTTGAGTGTTGGATAATGTTCGTTGATTTGCTAAATTAACCTTTTCCATATGGACATCTTCTAATCCAACAAACATTTTAGGAATCAAACATATAATCAACTCAAACTGTCGTAACTTCTACGCACATCCCAATGCATTAATATCCCACCGATTAAACTGTTTTGTTTGTAAACGTTCATTCGCTAATTTTTCTCTTAATTCTAACCAGTTTTGTGCCCATATTGTTGAATTACATAATTCTAATCTTTGATTCAATTCACTACGTACAACAAAACCCGCAGTCTCGAATAATGGTCTACCACTATTCGTGCCAGTCTTCTGATATCTTAAATCCATAGAAATTCTTACTCTATTTTCTGTCGTATTTTCTAAACTTGAATGAACTGTTCGTTGATTCATTAGTAACACAGATCCAGCTGTCATCGGTAACGGTAAAGGTTTCAAAAGCTGACAGTCTGAAGAAGCTAAAGAATCAATAAGATGACCACTAATGGCTAATCCTTCGCGAGTAGGGCAATGCTGAATTATACCATCATTGGTACGATGAGATTTAGGTATAACTTGCATACATCCCGAATTTAGCGTAACATCAGTCAAAGCTAACCAGCATGTTAAAATATTACTATTATCAGCTTCCGGTAATATGACTCCATTATCTTGATGCCAAGGGACAGCGTTGACCATACCACTAAAATTGGCAGCAATTGTATTTGTTATATTTTGGGGTAGTTTCATTCTCATATGTTGAACAGGATTACTTGAAATTTCATTAGTTCCTAGAATATCACTAACAACATCGATCAAATTTTTGTTTCTCATTACATTGAATAATTTGTCTCCCAAATATAATGGTGTATCATTCATAATATCTGATTGTGGTAGACTAAAATCGAAATATTGTGGATACGTACGTTTACTTATTCGACATATTAATTGAATTCGATCACATAAAGGCAGATGTGAGTATGTTTGATCGATTAAATTTTGTTTCACTAAATCTTCAGCTATTTTATCCAATACCTGTCGATTCATTTCATCGAATAAGTCATCAATAGTGCTCAATGATATAACATTTTCAACAACTAGATAACCTTCAGACAAAAATTGGTCTAATTGACTTGGGATTAGTACTTTTAATTGATATTCACCTTCACTCATTCTACAATTACAAAAACTAATCGATAAATATTGCTCAATAAATGATTGATTCGTTTAACTTGAGTCTCTCACACTTCTAATCATTAAAATGTTCTACGGTACATTTGCACCCTAGCGAAGTTAGTTTCTCAAGCGCATGATATAAGCGTATCCCAAGATTTGCACAGAAACACTTGTGATTCTCTTACAGTTGGAACGTGAAAAATTTGTGAAGGCATGTTATTCACTCAAAGCATGTTCGCGCACTTCAAGAATCTCATGTCCTTTCTATAAGAAATTCATGTATGGGTTTTTTCCTTGTTTTGCAGCTTTTTCTTCATAGCTGATTACATCATATGTTACTCAGACTTTTTAAGAACATGATATTAACAAGTTCAGGGAAGCTAAGAGCTATAACTCTCCTTTAATAGATAGTCCTTCTCGCCACTGATAACTCTCTTTCTCTAAATCACCCGAAAGATAAAAGAGCTATGATTTCGCGTTAGGTACACAAATGTCAACTAACTGTTTTAGGGCTTGTTCACGTAACCCAGCCGAAAAAAGTCAGTTAGTTACATTTTGAAATAATTATGGCTCCATAACGAAACAGCCGGGGCAATGTTTTATTTTGTAGAGTAAACTGTCTTCTTTGATATGACAATCAAGCAAACTCTCATGAACATTTATTTCAAAAGTTATAACTCAGTAAGTGAATGACTCAAAACTCACTTTTTACTTGATTTTTGGTACCTTATCTCTATTTATAGTGGCGTCTCTAAGAATTCGTTTGACGACCTACGACTTAAAACTTGAATTGTTTTTCTCAATTTAAAAGAAAGTTCAGATAGAAAATTATTTCAGGAATAAATAAGAACACACGCAGTATTAATAGCAAAAAAATGTTAAAGTCTGAATTCAATGTTATTAATAAGACGAATATTTTCCGTGCTAACAAAGGACGGGGTTGAAAATGTCGAGGAATCGACCTCTCCTTAAAATGTTTTTATTTTAACTTAGATTGATAGAGAATTCAATTTATGTGATTTTTCGGAGCTTCGAAATGTATTTTGTTGCAAAAATAAATTATCAACCTCTTTTACGCTGAATTTTCATTAATAATTTATTTTCGATAGAAAATGCTAATGGAATCTTTTTTTGAAATATACCAATTAATAGAGCTAGGCGAGCTGATCAAGATATGCGCAAACGAATGCTTGGAAATAAGAAGAACCATTATCTTTTATTCAAAATCCAATTCAGGCCTAAGTTTTTAGCGCTATCCATCACGGTATGTCGCATTTCCAGGCACAAAAAATTGGCTCTAAAACGCGTGTTTTTTTCCGTTTTTAACGATCAAAAAATGCGTTAAATGTTTGATTTGAAACGCGTTAAAACAGTCTTTTGAACACTTTAGAAACGCGTTACTTTTACGTTAAAAACGTACAAAAAACGCGTTTTCAAACGTTCTGGAAAGCGTTCCGTAACAGATGAAACATTTAATGCGTTTTTTGATCGTTAAAAACGGAATAAAAACGCGTTTCGGGATCGAGTCTGCAACTCGTGAATCGTTCCAGAATTTTCGTTAAGCCAAAGGTGAAACCTAGCTACCCAACGGGAGTTGATCTAAAGATAGTGAGAATCTATAATAAAGGGGGTAGATAACCGGTGAGCTAAAACTGATATTTCTTCGATACTTCGATTGTGCTTATATACTCGGCTGACCGCAAAACAAGACGGTGAATGATTAGTTTCGTTTTTCAGCCGTTAAAAACGGAATAAAAATGCGTGAGAACGAAAAATGAAACCAACGTTATGAAATGCGTTCCGTTTTTAACGATCATAAAACGCATTAAATATTTCATCTGTTACGGAACGCGTTCCAGAACGTTTGAAAACGCGTTTTTCGTACGTTTTTAACGCAAAAGTAACGCGGGTCTAAAATGTTCAAAAGACTGTTTAGACTATTAAAAACGCGTTAGAACGGAAAATGCAACAAACGTTATGGAATCGTTATATCCCATAGAAAACGTGGGAAATGGGTCAAAAAACGGTAGTTTCGTAACGCGCTTTTTTGTCGTTTCTAACGATTTTTTGTGCCTGGGTTTTTTTTACCATTTAAGCTTTAATCACAAACCATACTTACTGCAATCGATGACTCGTTAAGCTACAAGAATATTTATATATTCATCGCTTCCACTAACGTCAACAGTTTCTATACCAACCCAGAGCTGGAACCGGTGCCGGTTGAAAAAGTCAACCGAGCCGGTAGAAATCGGTATTTTACCGGCTGAAACTTTTGAAACATCCGCTCCTTTCATCCTGTTTTTCATCAAAAAACTAAAATTTCACGTCTTTTTCAGACAGAATAAATAAGACGATGCGCAAGAGAGATATTATTTCGTCGCTTGTTTTAAGATTAAATGTTAGTTGAAAAGAAAGCGATTTACAGCCGATATCATCGATCTATTATGGCCTAGCTGCAGTTTTTATCGATAGCATGGTTTTCTATCGCTATTGAAGAAAAAACACAACACTTAAAGATCGTCAATTCTGTTTAACAGACATATAGTTTAAATTGTGACAAAAACAAGTGTCTAAGGTTTGTACTTGTTCAATTGTAACTCATACTCGTGTGTACGTACTAGGTGGCGAAAATCAAAAACATCACGTATTTTAGTTTTTTATTTTGTTAGTAACATGAGCAGGCATGATAACATTAAAAAAGAGAAATTTTTTAATCACGATGACAACAATGATCTTCACTTTTTTTGCCATTCCTTACGAAACACCTGAATAAACATATAGTATAATATCACATCAAAAGAACGAGAACAAAAGTCCGTATGTGTTGATAAAACATCAATCAAGACCAGTTTTTCGGTCTAAATTTTTTGTATCTATTAGTGTTTCTATCTAAAGGTAAATGTCAGTTTGACAAAAGCTCTAGTTGAGAAATATTTGTTTATCACCACACTCTAAAAAACATGTCGTTTACTAAACCTTAAGTAGTTTAATTTAGTAAACCATTTAAGTTTTAGTAAGCGAACTAAATCCCTTAAAAAAGCCTCATAGGTTTATCATCGGTTTTTAAAGGTTTTTTAACAATGTTTAGTACGTTTATTAAATCCTTAGCGGTTTTTCACGAAGGGTCTACTGGAAAAAACATTTTTTGTTTGTTGTTGTTTTGTTGTTAAAAATATTTTAAGTCAAAGGGTTTTTCATCTAACAAGAAAAACTATAAAGTTGTTTTATTTTTTGTTAAAAGCCCCAAAGGATTTGTTCTAAACCTTTAGTTTCTTTTACTCAACCCGCAAAGCTTTTTCATAATTCGAAACCCACGAAAGGTTTTGCAAACGATCTGCTGAAAAAATCATTATAAACCCTTAGGGTTTATAATCATTAAAACCTATAAGGTTTAGTAGAAAACTCTTAAGAGTTTAGGAAATAACCTTTTGAGTTTTGTTGCGGTCAAATGTTCTACATTTTTCCCGTTGTGCGCAGTGGACGTTGGATCGCACATCCATTTAAAAAACTGCAGAGTGCTTTTTAAACTCAAATTAAGGAGTATGCCTAATAAAGGCAGTTTTCATATTTGCCTTGGAAAATGGGAATGAAATGGTTTTTTTAAAGAGCGGAAAAACCGTACCTATGTTTGACTGAGTAGCGTGGTAACTTCTCTGCTGAAGTTGCTCGACATCGACGTTTGTCAAGAAAAGATGATTAGTTTTGATGGCCTCCGCTTAGTTAATGGAATTCTTGTACAGTAAGAGTATTCTGCTCGTGTACAACCCACAAAACAGAAACAAACAAAATAAGAAAATAAACATCCAGGCAAACATCATATATGGGGAAAATCTAGATACATTTCGTCTGTTATCGGGCGATACAGGACTAGTTGTCATCTAGATTACTAGTTGGAAAAGGGACTTTTAACTAGATGAGTCTGCATGTGCAACTAGTAATAGTTAAATCGTGCGATTATCGAGCGATAAGTCGATAGTTGCAACTAGATGAAATGTAGCAATCGCCCGATTACTAGATTTTCACTGTCGTCACTCAATAGTTGCAATCGAGTAAAAATCTAGTAACCTGGATGAATCGGGCGACACTAGATTTTTTTTTTGACGCTTAGGCAGAACGACGATGGCGACAACCAATAAGGAATCGGAATCATGATCAGACTGAACAAGAAAAAAGAATAGCACAATAATAATGGCCTGATTAACTGGGGTATGAACTGCCGTAGAAGTGCATCTGCTGTCATGATCATAGAGCTCTAGTTTTGCCTTTACCTGGAAGAAAATTGCTGCTACTGCAATTTATATTATTATTATATACCAGTTAGTTCCATAGCTGCAGTTCCGTAGATACGCACTTATCCTCTGTAATCCAAGATGGCACAAAATTTTGCTTCTCAGCATTTTTAAAAAAACAGAAACTGCCATTGATTGTGTCAGTGCTTGTCGAGTTTTTGTCCATTTTTTTGGAAAAAATAAGTAAACTTCTTATTTTCGGTGCTTGAACGAACGTGTTTTGATTTTTTATTGCTGAAGAAAACGCTTCTTATTTCTTACTCTGCTGCTATTTGTTTGTTTCCTTTCTCGTTCCAGTTTATGTTTATTAAAAATGAAACAGTTTAAGATAACATATGTTGTGTGTAACGAAATATTTTTGCATGAATGAAATGTATTGTTGATTCTAGGAATACATTTTCTGAGAAAACATTTTGTTGCTTTTGAATGTTTCTCGCAGATCGGACTATTTTTCGTTAGAAGCATCTACCTGTATCGGAGCTGCTCTTTTGTTCGTCCTTTCCTTTTTTTCCGTTCAGATTTAGAAATAGAATATATTCCTCGGTTTTCAACAGAATCATGCTGGATTTCTACTATTCAAAAGTTCGATTTTCTGTCTATACTTGTGATACGATTTTAGTGTTTTCATGTGAAAAATGAAACAAATTTATTTTAATCGTCATCATGTCAGGTATACTTTAAATTTGTTTTCGAGCGATAACAAGGAAA